CTGCGTGAAAGAACTTCTTCCGGAACTCTTCAATTAGTTTCCTGGGTAATCCTTCTACGCAAGGACCCCGTCTACTTGTCTTGTGAACGATGGATGCGTGTGTATTGTGCAATGCGATCCATCTTTTCCTGTGCATGTCTCATTTTCGCACCTTCTACAGTAAATGCATGTATAGAGATGCGTGACTTTTTCGATTTGATTAGACGAGTGTCGTCGGGATTTTGTTCGAGAATGCAAGAGTGTTTAGATCTGTAGTTCTGTCTGTAAAGCACATGTCATCTGCCTTATGCTACACGACATCAGCAGCCGAGCCACGAGGCGGCCTCGAAAAACAAGGCGTCAAGGACTAACGTTGTGTTGAACTGATCGGTCCGTTAGTCATCTACATGATCAGGCTGATCTGTGTTTGCTCTCTCTCTCTCTCTCTTGTGTCAAAAAGATTGATTGGGGAACGCGCGAATCGCTTTTAATGATGTCTCGGAATATTTTGTGATTGATTGACATGTGGACCGACAAATACCCTCCGATTGGGCGCCAGCCTCCCGTATCTCCCATCCCAACGCGACCTTTTCCCTACAGTGAGGAAAGGACACGTGTATGTGAGTGAGACGTACGAGAAGCCATTGCACAAATCGGCGGGCAGTATTACTTCCCTCCGGCCAACCGTTGTTCAGGGTTCATAGAAGTCGGGTTTGTTATTATTGATACGCACTTCCCACCTTACTCGGTATGCTGTCATTTAACGAGTTAATCGTCATTCTGCGGACGGCAGTAGAACCCCACTGGCCGCGCACTCTGTGCACCGAATGTCAGCGTTTTGAGCGCTGCGAGTCCAGGGGTTTCCACTACCGTGTGCGGAGTGAAGACGAGCATAAAGAAAGAGCCACGCGACTGAGACCCTCCACGTCAGACTCAGAACTAACCAGCGAACGACAATGAGATTTGATACGAAAACGGGACACGCGAAGCGTGCCCAAGCCTTTCTGTTCTAAATGACGGGCTGTAGCCCGGTGGGAGGCACGACAATACTTTTTGGATTGAATTTGGATCTTTCCCTCTCTTCCCGCCTTGCAACGATCGACTTGCTCCATCAGACCAACACGGGGGATTTCAGTTTTGTCTGTGTCCCCACACTCAATTTCCAAAAATCCTTGGCACACCCCATCTTGCTGTTTTTCTGGGCCTCTTTTCCGCACAGCTAACACTCCGAACGGAAGACAGCACAGGGCGCGAGGTTGGTATCGAAGCCGACACGTGTCGGTTCTGATGAAAGTAAGTCGAACTGGCGAGAGGTAGGAGAGACCCTCCACTAGCTCGTCGAGATCGCCCCGTAACCAGGTCTTAGTGCGGTTGTGTCAGCGATACCAATGGTGGACGGTACTAGGGTGATCGTTAGCATCCCTGCCCCCTTCCCCTTCTTCCCCAACCATACCCATCCCGAGGCTTGGCTGGAAGCCGTCGAAGCTCAAAACTACAGCGCCGCCGATCTTCCCCGTGTTCTGACCTTGCTACTCCGCAATACATCGCACGACTGGTTCCGAAAGCATACATGGATAGATTGGGAGACTTTTAAGCCTGCATTCTTGGCGAGATTCGACACGGTTAGCGAAGATGCCGCCTGGTATGTACTCAAAAATCGACCCCAAGGACCAGGGGAACTGTTACCCGATTTCGTTGATCGGTTTCAAACCACAGTGGATAAATCCGGGCGAGGCGAGAAATGCGCTCGAGATTTGTTTATTGATCACCTTCGAAGTCCGACCTTGAAAGAGAAACTGCAGAAAAAGGTTCCACCGAAAACAACCCAGTTATCGGCTATCATTACTAAAGTGTTGGAGCTAGACTTGGCTGATACAAAAAAATACATCAGCCAGGGAGACGAGGATATTACAGATACAATACGGGATGTAACGGCCAAAAGGCGATCATGGCTACAGGCGGTCGAACGGTTTTATCCCCGCCCCGGCCATGACCTTCCCGGCGGAACCGTTTCCGATATCCCGACTGCTTCTCCTCCCTCTTCCCCGGTGAATCAATCGATCGCAGCTGTTAGAAGCGGAACTTCATCTGAACCCCCCTCGCCGTTCGTAACCAATCTACACCTTGCCCAGATGATCCACACGGCTATTATTAAGCAGTCCGAATGGATGGGCAACCTGATCCAAATGCAGGCCGCTCATATGGAACGAATGGAACAAATAATGAGCAGGCTCATTAAGCCTAATCCAGCTCCTGCTCGGCCTGCCCCTGCTTCATTTCCACTCTTACCTGCTCCGCCTGCTCCAGGATTCACCCCTCAGTTTTCTCATCTAGCTAATCCGGCACGAAAGATCGAGTGTTTTAACTGTAAACAGCCCGGGCACTTTGCCCGGGACTGCCCACTGCCGAAACGAAATCAGCCTCCCCCTGCTGCGGCCCCTGTCGCCCTTAATCAAGGACGAGTGGCCGTTCTGATGGACACGGACCAGGGAGGAGAACTCGTAACGTGTGCCCAGAACAACCTTCCTCTTCGGAGATAATAGCATCGACCTCAGGAGCTTCTTCCTCTGACGCTGCTGATGTGGTCGATCCCCTCGAGTATCTCCATCTTGCCGGAATGATCGAAGCGATCCGATCAGTCCCAGATGATCTTGAGTGGGTCGATCGCGAATCCAATCCAGGACCGCAGTTTCGGACAGGAGACATTGATGTACTGAAAACGCTTAAGCAACTAGATATTCGCGTTCCCATCCCAGTGGGGCATCTGCTCACCATATCTGAAGCGGCGAACGATAAACTTGTACAACACTGCCAGAAAAATCAAAAGCGTTTCACCTATCAACGCATACAACGGATGTTGAAGAAGAAGGAAGAAGGCGAGGAGGTTGCGCCTCCCGAGCCTGACACGAAAGAACCTGAAGCCGCACGAATAGCAGCGATCTCTTTAGCAGACAAAGATCACTTCGTACGAGCTCGGTCGTTATTGTGGAAAAGTGCGGAATGTGACTGTGAAGTTTGGGGCAAACCGTTTAATGCCCTTATTGACACAGGGTCTTCTGCCGTAGCCATATCATTGGAAACTGTTAAAAAGACGGGACGACTGGGATCCATTCTTCCTCAATCTGGCAAAGACAATTATGTCTCTGCCGACGAGGAGGCAATGAACATCGTAGGCATTATCGAGAACGTAGCAGTAAAAGTCGGGCGAGTACATGTCCTTGTCAACGCACTCGTAATAGATGTATGTTTCTATTATGTGTTATTAGGATTACCTTGGGCAATGGCGGTAGGCGCACGTCTGCATTTCGATTCGAGGCAAATGGTACTCACACAAACCGGGGGAAAACCTCAAACAGTTCCTTTGCGAGTTTCCACCCGAACGATAAAGCGCATCCCTAACCCGGCCCAAATATGGATGATTCGATGCGTTGATCCCGAAGAATGCTCTCCCTCGCGCCTCGGGGATGAAATCAGGGAATGAGAATGCGAAGAAGAGATGCCTAGTAAAGAGGAATGGAAGCATCTAGTTGAACTTTTCGAACATGAAACCCCTGAAGAATTTCGAGTGGGCCCCGATACCACTTGAAGCTTCCACGTGGATTCTGAAGACAGAGCATTCACGCCTCTAACAACCCAGGTCAGTCCTTCAATCCTCCTCGGGGAACCCATATTACAAGTTTCCGATCTGGCTGATGATTTGGAACCCCCTCGCACATTGTACGAGGGAGCTCTCTCCTTATGAACACGTTATCAGCAAACGGAACAATATTTAGACGTTTCTGTTTTTCCACCTCGATCGTTACTAACGACAGGAGCCACCATTGCCTTGATTAAACAAGAAGTGGAAGCACCGGTAAATGATGTACCTAATCTGATGCAAGAAATGACGGATCTAACAGGACTAACTATGGAACCGACCTCGGTTGGTTCAGAAACTGACGCTGAAACTAAAGAAATAGAGATTATCAGCCCTGCTGAGTCCCAGATGATAGCAACTGTATTCTCTGTTCGCACCAGTAGTTCCGTTTTTTTTAGTGTCCGTGATCAACGGGAACGGCCGGTTGAGTGGACTGATATGCCCCTTAAGATTTCCGGGGAATCTACAATCACCTTGCCAGGCCACGTCCCCGCGGAAACTCGAAAATCATTAATTCGTGTGTTAAATGGCTACGAAGAAGTATTGAGCATACACGATAATGACATCGGCTTAACTAATGTGATTGAGCATGCCATTCTCACGGGAGATCATCCACCCATTAGCTGCGCTCCCTACCGATACTCGCCAGCTCAACGAGCAGCCGCCTTTCAGCGGATTAAGGAGTTCGAAGCTAATGGATGGATCGAATCTTCTATAGGTTCATGGTCTTTTCCCGTAGTGATCGTACCTAAAAAGGCCGGAGGAATTCGCATTTGCATTGATTATCGAAAGTTGAATGATATCACGATTAAAGATGTGTATCCCCTCCCCCGGATTGAGAATTGTTGGATGCGATTGGGAGTGCTCGATTTTTCAGCAAGTTTGATGTTCGCCATGGATTCCATCATCTTTTTGTCCAGGAGGAAGATCGACCGAAAACAGCGTTTGTGCTTTTCGAGGGTACGTGGCAATGGATTCGATGCCCGATGGGTATCTGCAACGCCCCTGCGACTTTTCAGTGGGCTATGAACATGGCTTTTCATAATTTCGTACGGAAGACTCGCCTGGTGCAGAGCATCATCAACTATTGCGTAATCGTGTACATGGATGACATCCTGGTGTATTCGATCTCATACGAGGGACACGTGCAGCACATCGAATAGGCACTGAATGCGTTACGAGATGCCGGCTTCAAGGTGGCGCTTGAGAAGTGTCGGTTTTTCCTCACCACCATTTCTTTCCTGGGGCATGTGGTAACAAACAAGGGATTCCAACCGGAGCCGCAGAAGGTGGCAGTTGTCACGGACGCGCCAGTGCCTACCACTATCACGCAAGTTCGCGCCTTTCTGGGCCTAACCTCGTATTACCGAATATTTATCAAGGGCTTCGCGGCGATTGCGGGACCCCTCACGAATCTCCTGCGCAAGGATCAGCCGTTGATCTGGATGCCGGAGTGCGATCAAGCGTTTTCCAAACTCAAGGTTGCTCTCATTTCGGCTCCGGTCCTTATAAGACCGGATCCCGAAAAACCTTTTGTTTTCATCACCGACTGGCATCCAGAGGCGATTTCGGCGATCCTCGCCCAGGTGGGACCAAGCGGATTCGAGAATGTGGTGGAATATGCGTCTAAATCAGTACCCGCCTGCAAGCGCAACTACGCCGCTTCGACGGGAGAATGCTATGCGGCTCTCTGGGGAATCAGTCACTTTCGTGCTTACCTGTATGGGCGAAAGTTCACCTTGGTGACTGATCATGAGCCCCTGTTGGCTGTGAAGAAGTCGAAGGATTACTCGGGCATGATTGGGCGATGGGCAACGGTGTTGCAGAGCATGGACTTTGACATCCGTCATCGGAAGCACGAGAGACACGGGAATGCGGACGGACTGACACGACTGCACCGGCCTGAGAAAGTTCCGAGGAATGAGGAGGTGATTCCGTGGAACGAACCCGAACAGGAGATTCGACCTCGATACGGCCAAGTGGAGATCTTATCGAAGCAGTAAGGACACGAGGACTAATTGTTCTACTCTTCCCTCTCTGCATCCCCTCCTCCTCTGTCATCATGACTGCCCTACTCGCCTCCTCAACCCCTTCATCCCCTACTAATTCTGCCCCCCTCACGTCCTCCGCTTTCTTTGCCACCCTCCCCGATAAATTCTGTTATTTTTGCACGTGCATCGCACGGGTTTACGGGGTCGATTGTCATCCCTTCGAAACCGGGTTTGTCGATTGGGTAGAATGTGCCACGTGTGTCAATCGTGCGCACGGAGCCTGCGTTCGATATTGAACAAATAGCAAGGAATGGAGGTGCCCCCTGTGTAGAACGAACAAGCTCCCCACGGAGGTTCGATTCGAGGCCGCCCGTACGGACGGTCCTGAATACGACGAAAAATACCGACGAGCGGAGGTTTGGACCGATAAAATTTTATTGCAAAATTAGCGGGATTATCGTTAGGCCACCTCACCAAACACGACAGACGTAGGGCAACCGAGAGATCTCGGGACTATCGATGGATCAATGGTCATTTGGAAAAGCGCAAAACTGACAAATCGGGTTCGTGGCTGACGGTTCCCCATCCCTTCCAGAGATACGATTCGATCCGATCTGCTCACGAGGAACAGGCCGCTCATTTCGCGATACATGTCACGGAGGCAACTGTAAACCAGAACCGATGGTTCTGGTCCAATGCACGAGATGATGTCAAATACATTATCGCTAACTGTCTGGTCTGTGTCGCTGATCGCGCCCCTATACGGGGACCAAACACGATTGTGCCAACGGAAGTAGAGCGTCCTTTCCAGCGAGTCAGTATGGACACGACCGATATTGACGTGCCACCTGGCCCAAACCGCTGTGAATATTCCATCCTGTTAGTTTTAATTGACCATTTTTCCAAATACATCGAAGTTTATCCTTGTAAGACCCGAAAGGCCGCCGAAATAGCCACATACATCGAACGATTCCTCTATACCCATCTAGATACGGAAAAAATTCTAACTGACAATGGGTCGGAATTCAAAGGTGAGGTAGAGGAACTACTTGCGCGAAGGGGCGTCACGCTCCGACATACGGCACCCCACGTGTCCCAGTCGAACGGGTTGGCCGAGAATGCCAACCGTATGATTAAAACCGCCCTTCGCAGGAACTTAGCGGCACACGACACGCGTCCGTGGCCCGAGATCGTATATCAGATCGTCGGCATCCTCCGGGCCACCCCTCACGAGTCTACGGGGTTCACCCCCTTTCATCTTCGAACTAATAGCCTCCCCTTTGTCGATTACCGGGGCAACTCGAAAATTGCCGAAGCAGGGGGTAGAGACACGTGTGCGGCCCTCAAGGCCAAGGCCAAAAGGTACACCGATTTGATGGAACGGGCCGTTCCGAAGCTAGCCCGAAAAAGACAAAGGATGACCGAGCTGGCCCACAGTAGACAGGTCCGTAGCTACGAGGCCCGGAATGGAAATGTTGGGCCCCAGTAACAGTATAAATTGGGGGACCTAGTGCAGGTACGTAAATGTGCATGCGACCGGAAACTCGTTCCCAAGTTCTCTGGTTGTTTTCGCGTTGTCGAACTCGGACCCAACGGCGCTAACACGATGCGCATCGCGCCTGAGGCTAGCGCCAGCCATAGCTCCGTCCCCATCGTCAGACATACCTCCTACCTCCGTCTCCTTCCTCCTTCCGATTTTCCTTTCTCTTCTTCCTCGGAAAGCGAGGAAAACGACGATGATCTAACCTCTCTCCTCTTTCTCCCTCTTGTCCTTCGTCTTCCTCTCCGACCTCGCAATGAGTTTTATCACGGAGCGGGTTCTCGACGCACAGATGCGGCAGCCACGTGGCCACATCTCAGAGATCCGGCAAGTTTGTCACCCTCGGCTCAATACGGATCTCCGCCGTTTGATGCGATTCTTCTGCGACGAAGGTATCTGTGCCGCCGCCGCGTTTCAGATAGAAGGAAGCCCTCACGCGATAGTGTTCGTGGAGGTTACTGCAGTTCATCGACGAGCGGGTCCCAAAACGAGCCACGTCACCACAGTGGCGGCATTCACCGGCGACATCAGCTCGGTCAATCCGTTGCGGCATACCACGATCTTGGCCTCGCTGCGTGAGTGGACGGAGCAAGTGTCCAACATGTGGCAGCACGTTCTCGCCCGGGAGGGGTATAACATCATTCCGATCTGTGCATCGGATCTTGACGGTATTCGACGATCACCGCGCGAGCGGCCAGTTGCGATCCCGACCATCGTCCCCTTTCCCCATCCCCAATGAACCACGCTGCTCGTCTCGCTCCTCTCTCTACCTTTGGTCTCCCCTCTCTCTTCCCCACCTTCTGGCAATCCGATCTTCACCCTTCTCTTTCCTTCTCGTTCGAGCCTCTTTCAGTCCCCCTTATCCATCCTAGACATTGGTGATTGTGGCACGAAACTTTTGAGGAGCTGTCCTTTTGCTTCGCCAGAATACAAGTGAAGTAAACGGGCACTATCGAGTACCCCACGTGGATCGAGAATCCGGAGCTGCTGATCATACAGGGTTGGAGGACAAACGTGGAAGGAGATTCCTCTTTGGATCGGTACGACCGGGTCGCCGTCCGTTGATTGCACAGGAGCTCATCGCACCGATCGTGCAATTGGCGGACGATCTCTCGCCCGACATCTACTTTCAGAGCGACAACAGTCCTGCTCCGTACATTTTCGAGCGATCCTTGGATCCGTACCTTCAGTGGACTTCGTGCTTGGAGGAACCTAGGGACGAGGATACGCTACCATTGAGGCAGGAGTATCTGAAGCCGTACGAGATCATCCCTTACGCCTTCTACCCGAGGGCAGAAGAAGTGGTGATTGACGACGACGACGAAGAAAACGACGACGACGAGAAGACATCGGAGGAGGGAAGCTATAGTGAACATAGCGAGGGTGAGTTGAGCGAGGAGGAAGAGGAAGAAGAAGGAACCAGGTCCGAGTGGGAAGCCCCACCGAAGGAAGCGGCGGGAACGGAGGCGGAAGATCCGGAAGCGCCGCGAAAGCGCGAAGAGATTGCCTCCGAAAAGCGTCAGCTGGAGCTCGCTAGCAAGGCTAGCCTGCGCATCGGTAGCGATCCGACCAGGGATCAAGAGCCGCCGAGGCCCGAAGATGGCGACCCTGCAGCCGCCACCTTAAGTACCGCGCGACGGACACAGCGTCGATCCCCCTCCTCCTCCAGCCCCACCCGTCCCCCAGTTCGCCCACGTACCAATGCGCGTGATAGGCCTTCGACCTCGGACGCTGCCCCGCCGACCCCTTGATTTTCTCACCCTCGAGCAGATCCGTACCCCCGTCACCTTCCCTTCCCATCCTTTCCATCCCCATCTCTTCCGCGACTTCTACTCTACCCGCCTACTCGCCACCGTCCACCCCCATGCCACTTCGAGATCTTCCGAGCGGCGCTCTTCCGCACCCTCTCCTCCTTCTATCGCGACTACCTCGCCTCCCTCCCCCGCAGTGGCAATCATTTCCCCCGCTTCCACCGGATAATCTAATATGAGGAGCTCCCTGTGACGATGGAAGGGATGAATCGCTTCCTACCCCCACTCCCTCCCCGTCATCCCCGCGAGATCCCCGGCATGTACCACCTCTACTGGCCTATTCCGGCTAGGCGGTAGATCCCATTCACTGGAACCCCCCCCTTTTTTTTCTCCCTTCATCGGCACGAATCAGTAAGCTTCGCGAAGATCACGCCATCAACGATGACGTCAACCTATGCGCTGATTCGACCGATGGCAACGAGCAAGGGTGCAGAGCACACGGAGATCAGGTGGACCATGATGGCGTCACCTGGACGATCTCCACGAGGCAAAGCGTTGCATATGACAGGGCTACAGAGATCTTGCCACGGATGTTGTCGCCATCTCATCCGCGGCCCAGTTATCGTTCCTTGTACTTTTTTCTGCTCTGTTGATACGTTTGGTTCCTCATGCATCACATTGTTCTCCCCTCTTCTTTTTTGCCATGACATGCAATCAGGAGATCGCATAATTTTGGAACCCCCTGCGCGTCACATATATGTGACGAACCACTTCACGACCCCATGCCATCCTTCGTACCCTTTCTATTGCTTGTATCATACCAACCCCGGGAAAACCCCGTTTTGATTTCTTGTTTTTGGGTGCCGCATTTTCCTTTTTGAGAGTTTTTTCGACTGATGAGTTTTGTTTTCCTTTTTGCAAAGTCGGGAAATACATGGGAATTTACGTGCGCCTTAGCGAGCGCACTGGGAATTGGGCTCGGTAGTTGGGAATTCCGGGATAAGCGGAACTTCGACGTGTCCTTTTTGGGTGTGTGAATGTTCTTGGGCGCGTCGGGGAAAACTCTCGGAATTTTGCGTGAATACGAATAGGCGTACGATTTTCTTTTCCCGCGTCACTTTTTCGCGCGCAGATATGGTGATTTCAATTTTGAATTAGGATAGAAGCAAGTTGTAACTGTTTCGATGCCTTTTTCTTTTTTTTGTTGACGGCGCCGTGCATGCAAAAGCTTCCTCCTCTCTGTCCCCCGCATCGCTCCCTCCTGCGCCTCCCTTCCCTTCTCCCTCCTTTTTCTCTCTCCCCATAACTGTTTTTCTTTCTCCCTCTCTCTCTCTCCCGCCTTGCTTTCGTGCGCCCATTTCCCTTTCTTGATCATCTGAATCTTGGACCCGTCTTCCGCCACCTCTCGCGCCTTTTCTCTTCTCACCCTCTAAGTCTGGCGTACGACGCCCGGTCGATCCCCCGATAACTCCCGCTCGCCAATCAGGTGCGTCGATCGATAGGACCTTCCTATCGCGCGACGAATCTGATTGGTTGAACCTTGAGTTCCGAAGGATCAGCATGGCGTTCATAGAGTACTCTTCTCAAAGTCTTCTCCTCCTGCTTCTCCTCTTACAACTCAACTTTCGTGTCGCCTTCTCCCCCTTCTATCTCCCCTGTCGCAACTATAAAACCCGCAAGCGCGTCCGCAAATCTCTTTTACGTTCTCGACTCCTAAGCCAGCTTCCGGAAAGCAGTGGCTAGGTAGAGTGGATTGATGCGAGTCGAAAAGTCCTGTCGGGCTGACGATAGGCTGGCCGGTTGCACGCTTGATCGCCACGACGGACTGTGGGATCCGGGCGAACCGTGTCGAGTTTACGACAACGGGGTGACGATCGCAGTGGTGGGAGTTAGCACGCGACGGTCGGGATCGTCGGTGCGGGTATGAGGTTCGATGACAGGAGCTGAATGAGTGATTGGCCCGGGGCCATAGTGGAATTAACGGCGAATGCGCCTTTGTTGTGGATTGTTATCTTTGGCGTGAGTGTACGGCGGTGACGCCGAACTTTTCTCTTCCTGGATCTTGTCATCTTCTATTTTGGACTTTCTTTCCCTCGACTCTCTCTCTCTCTCTCTCTCTCTCTCTCTCTCTCTCTCTCTCTCTCTCTCTCTCTCTCT